TGAGTTAAGAGTTTGCAAGCTATGAACAAATAATGGGATGTTTAGTTGCTGGGATAGCCAAAAGTACTTCTGTTCTAGAACAAATAGATTTCAAACATGAGCCATTTTATGTACAATAAAATCTGCATGTTTAGAAACAACATGCTCTAAATCAGAGGTGTCCAATCTTGGCAACTTTAAAACTTGTGGGCTTCAGGTCCCAGAATTCTTCAGCCAGCTCTGGGAATTGAAGTCCACAGGTCTTAAAGTTGCCAAGCTTGGACACCCCTTCTCTAAATGATAGAAGGAAATATCAAATGAGACATTGTTTGGTTAAAGACCAATGTGTTCCTCACCCATTCAAATAGATTTGTAAAGCTCTATGTATTATGTAATATATTGTAACATTGTCTAAATGTATTGAATAATCAAGAAAGGCCTGCAGAATGGTGTGATGCCTCAGTTTGAACTTTAGCATAATGAGATAGAACTGGGAAAACCAATGTTAGAAACTCTGGAGAGGCATTGCTAGTGAGTGTAGGCATTCCTAGATCAGGTTCAAACTCAGCTGCCGGATTTTGATGAAAAAAATGTATTTTAATTTAATATAACTAAATAATGGAATATCAGAATTGTAACTATTCACAACAACATGACAGTTGAAGAGGTTTGGCTTATATTTCTCTTTTCAATTGAGACATTTATCTGTTATTTTAAAAGCTAATGCATTTCCCTTTTAGGTCTTCAACAGCCACAAGAAAGTCAAGAGGAAACGTATCACATAAAGTGCCTGGAAACACTTGTACAGCTTCTCAACAGTTAACAGACACATTGTTAAAAAAGGGCACATCAATTGGACTGACTTCTCCAAAAGGCATGAGGACTAAAATGGCATATTAAATCCCTTGCATTGGATTATCTACCCAGAAAAGGAAAATTTGCACAGTTTTTGACTTAATAGTAGAATAGGTCAATCCGAAGAATGTACAGTAAATGTTTCCGTGGAAATGCTGTTCTAGCATTGTGATATTACAGATAGATGTAAGAAAGTAATGAAGTAGCTAATTTTAATTATGTAAATTGTAATTATGTGAATATATATTTTTGCAGTGTTCGAGCTTGTATTAATAAATATGTTTTAATAATGCGAATGTGGAAAGAAGTGCTGTCTCTTTAGGGCAATGACCCAGTTTTGAGATATAAGAATGGGTGCTGGAGATCTATGGAGACATCAGCAATAGTCAAATGTTTCTAGAGGAATTTGAGGATGAACAAATTGTGGCAGGAAAAAAGTATGAGATGTAAAATATATTAATGCATGTTTAGCCTGTTACATAGGTTGCTCTTAAAAAAAAATAGAAAAACAGAGCAAGATTGTTTGACATGCTCAAGATGTCAAGTTGAGTAAGCTGATCCTTCATTTTTTACTGCTTCCTTCTCTGGGAAGATGAGAAGAGGTCAAAGAAACGACACAAGTTCTCTTCATCCAATCACATTCTGTCTTTCAAGGTCACACCATTGAATGCCTTGCTTTACATCAATAATATTTTAAAATTATTATTTTTATCCTTATTTTCTAGCACAATAAGCATCACTTCCAAAATCCGTATGTCTTTTAATTTCATTAAGGTAGAATTTAGATCATTTTCAAATATTTCATTTGTTTTAACATTTTTTTCAAAGAAGGAATAACTGATACAAAGGTACTTCACTGAAAAGAAAGACTAAACGAAAGACCATTTTCTAAACCAAATGCTTAATTTATTGCTTGCTCCCTTCATTGATAGTGATTTGACTGCTACATCTAATAATTTCTACTTAATCATAGCCCCACAATCAAACACTGAAGTGAAAGTTCAAAATAAGTTATAGTTGTTTTAAGAAACAGTTTTATAAGAAAATATAGGCAAGACCACAAATGTTGGTGATGTTTATTTGGGACTGTATAAAATTGATGCCTGAAATGTCAATTTTTGCTACAGTAGAGTATCAGAGAATTTATGTCAAGCTACTTTTTTTTAAACAAGAATTTGTACTCTTTATTTCTTAATACAATCAAATACCTTTTTACAGGAAGTTTAGAACATGTTTAACATCTAATAATTCACCAATTAATGTTTACCAATCCCAGTTGATTATGTGAATAGATTCCTTTGGAAGATAATATGTCCTTGATAACAGTTGTATATGTGGTATGAACCATCTTCTAAATTTCAGGTTACCCTTGTTTGATATTTTAATGGAATGAAAATCATTTTTAAAATATAAATGAGAGAAAATGACCTACTGATAACAGCAACATGGCATTTTCTATAATAATTGCTGCTGGGGGAAAAAATGGCAAGTGTAACCACTGTGTTTGAGAGATCTATAATTCTGTGGGTTGTGGAGGAAATTTCTTGCATAGTGGAAACAGCAAGTAACATCTTGGGTTGTGTGCTGAAAACCATAGATTTAAAGATAATTTGTCAGTTGCAATTACAACAAAGCAAAGGGCAATATATCAGCTGCAAAACGTTACCCAGAGGCATCAGACAACATGTCATATGTCAGCCAAATTACTATATTTTTCCCCATGCAGGAATTAAACAGATATACCAGCATTTAGGTCAGAATGCATTGGTGGCAAAGCAGTGGCAAGACCTCCCCCCTCCTGTGGGAGGTGGAGTTGAAAAAGTTAGGATGGTGAGCAAAAAGGCTCACTTGAAGTCCCACTCTTATTTAGCACGCATCACTTGGATGCAAAAGTGGCAGGCTTTGGGCATGTTTCACTCTCACCTTCTAATTGAGCCCAAAATTTATGTTGTTAAGTGAGACATTTGTTAATGAGTTTTGCCCATTTTATGACCTTTCTTGCCATAGTTGTTAAGTGAATCATTGCAATTGATAAGTTAGTTACCCAATTGTTAAGTGAATCTGGCTTCCTCATTGTCTTTGCTTGTCCGAAGGTCATAAAAGGTGATCAGAAGACCCTGGAACACAGCAACAGTCATCAATGTGAACCAGTTGCCAAGCATCTGAATTTTGATCACATGATCATGGGGATGCTTCAACGGTCGTAACTGAAAAATGGTCATATGGTCCATGCCATTATAACTTTGGACGGTCATTAAATGAACTGTTGTAAATCGAGACTACCTGTATACTATTGTGGATCATCTTGGATTTGCCTATTTGATGAAGTACTATACTCAAATTCAAAATAAACTTTTCAGATCAATTTAATCCCCAATTTATTAAAATTCAAGAATCCCTTTGTTAATGTTCAAATTAGAACCATGGCTCAGTCTTTTGAAATCCCATTTTGATACTTAGTTATTTGGATTATGTTAACAGAGATTAACTGAAGTCTGACACATATAGTAATGAGACTACATGAACTCAACAACACTCTGCAAGGAACGGGGTCAAAAATTTAACATTTCTCTTTCAATATTATTAATTATATTTAAAGTTTACATGTAGTATGTTTTCTTTAATTAGTATGTTTTTTAACTCAGTTATGACTGCATAACTTTAATAGAGTCTCTTATATGGATACTTATGTCTTATAAATAATGATTTGCCACTTTGAATTGTAAAGCAATGGATTTTATCAGAAACTTTCTCAGCAATGCTGGAGCAGATCTTATCGTATCATGCATCAAGATATCATCTAGGTTATCCCATTATTTGGAAATAATTAATTTGTCTTTGAAAAATAGAAATCTGTTTAGTTTTTTTAATTTGAATTTTTTATTCTGATCCTCAAATACAGGTAGTAAATCTAACTATGGAGAAAACTGTTTTGTTTATCAATGGTGTATTTAGCATATTTGACACGTGGATGGCTCTACTCTCTGCTTTGCGCATAACACGTAGAAATATCACTGGTTCTATCTTCATCACTACACTGCCAATCGCAAACAACTGATTTCTGGCAGCAATGACCCAAACCACAGCTACCACTCCCTCTTCAGATAATCTCCTGGTGATTTTTGACAGCACCCCCTTTTTGCTTGCCTCCGGGGCAATCTGATCTCACCACCCTTCTTTTGGTACATTACCGTTGTTCAGTTATCCATCACTAAGCTCACCAAAATCTTTCTTCTCCGAAGCTGAAACTTTTATATCGCATTCCCATCAAATGTGAAAAAAACATTTTCTTTGGTTTAAACTTTGTCAACAGTTCAAGAAATATTTACAAGTTACATTTAAAAAAAACAAAAACTCAAGATGGTTGTGGTAATGTGATCAAAACCCTACCTTCTCCCTACGGACAGAGCTTCAACTACATTGCTGCGGCTGCCGTTTCAATTTCTTTTCTTGCTACAGATACCACGAAAACCTATTTATCAGTGCCCTACATGCTTGTTTATTAGAACTTTTGGTATAACTTCAAATATGGTTTCAAGAATCTCTTTAGAGTTGTTCAAAAAAGTTACCACTATGGTGCAATCAAGCCAGGCAGAACCTTGAGTACAAAGATGTCATCATCACCATTTTGATTTTTTTTAACCATACCCTGCTAACGCCTCCGTATTTTTTTCAATATTGTCAAGATTATATTACTTTCATTACTTTTTTTTGTATGCTAATTGCTGCTTTCGCATATTCTGGAAAAGATCATTCCTGTATTGAAGTACCTTTAACTCTGTGAAGAAGAGTCAAGCTTATATAGCAATCCCCTTGCAAATGAAGCCTTCCTTGATGCTACCTGGTAAACATGGACAGTCATGAAACCCCCATCATCCTAGAATGCCAAATGAAAAAAAAAGTCATTTGGATGGAAAAACAATACACCAAAAAGGATGAGGTGGTTATTGTTAAAAACTCTTTGTTTGACAAAGCAAGCTAAATTAATGTTCTCAGAGAAAAAAATTGCAGCAAAACTGATGTATTGAGCTGTGTCTTTTGTAGGAACGGGTTGAATATTTTTCATTTAAGACAAAGCTGTGGTTTTTATCAAATAGCAATTTTATTGCCTGCTGTCCTGAAAGTCTGTAAAACATGAGGTCAATCCCATAGGCTTTCCTCTTCCCCAGAATTTTTGCAGTTTCCAGTCAGGGCTCTTTGCCAGTTTCAGTCAAGACTTTGCAGAGAGAAATTAAAATCCAGAATAGTTATCTGATTAAGAAGGATGAAATATCAATAATAAGGTCAATCAGATTAAATCTGCAGTTCCAAATGCTGAAATGTTACAGTCATATATATCCTTGTGCTGCTACTGCTTCTGGCTCATCCTGTCCTGAGTTTAAATCAAAACAGCTACCTCTGATGGCAGTATAGTGCCAGGTGTAATTTATCTTGGCACACTGCTTTGCAGCCCTTAGATAATACATCTGATATGGGAAAGCGCATTGTGCTGCTGTCCTGAGTAGAGCCTTTCATGTGGCATTTTACTGAGTAACTTCAAATTAAATATGATGGAATTTCTGTTCAGTATATCATCCTTGGAACTTTACAACAGGAACAATGAAATGCTTATCTTGTTTCCCAGTATCTCCATTTCACAGCTAGGTGATACAGCCTGAGGAATTATGTTTCAACCAATGTCATTTCTTATAATACTGTTAAGATTGTCTTCTAACTTTATGGGCTATACATGCTATGTAATATACAGCTTTTGTCTGTTGGATTAAAATGGAAGTATTTGTTTGTTTATGTGATTGACATAGCCATCCATCACCCAAGCAACTGGGTAGCTTACAAGGATTAAAAACACAGAGAAAAACCAACAATGTATAACCCCAGTGTACAAGGATAAAGAATAACCCTTCTCATATTGACAGTATTGTATGAATCAAGGAAGCTCATATTGATAACAGGAGGGCTCATCTATCCACTTGGCCCAATGAAAGACTATCAAGGATCATCTAGATTTCCAGGGAAATGCTGTTGCACATGCAGCTGCTATTGCTGAAAAGGCGTAACTCTGGGGTCCAACAAAATGACATTGTTTAATGGCAGAGACCTGGTGAATGCCCTCTCTGCTAGATCTGGTTGCCTGAGCAAAAGCTATCAGGGAATGCTGACATAACTATGAACTTTCCTATCTTTAAGGGGATGTATTAGTAATTCTACAAAAGGAATGGGAGATCTAAAAAACTCCATAACTTTAGGGGCCCGCCTTCCCAGCTCTCCTTACAGCCACTTGCAGTCAGTTGTCCCTGCAGTGAATTGGCTATGTGGAAATGTCCTGCGGTGACTTGGTGGTGAGTTGGCAGAGGCGACAAGCTGACAACAGTGAGCTGACCGCACCAAGCTGACTGCTCTGAGTTGTCCTAGAGCAGGGCTCTTCAAACTTCACCCTTTTATGACTTGTGGACTTCAACTTCCAGAATTCCTCAGCCAGCGTGCCTGGCTGAGGAATTCTGGGAGTTGAAGTCCACAAGTCATAAAAGGGCCAAGTTTGAAGAGCCCTGTCTTAGAGCCACCCCATAACAGTCAATATTCTAACAATTTAACATTCATCTTAGTCCACAATTCTAGATAGCCTAAATCTAGCCACAAGAATATGACAAAAAGAATGAACAGACATTTCACTTAAATAGAACTTATGATTAAAGACTGGTATTGATTAAAACCATCCTAATTGTCAGAGAACTAGCAAACTTGGGTTACATATCTTACAATGCAAAATTATTTTCTGTGACAAACATCAAAATGTAATTGTAAATAACTTCTGAATCAGCCACTTTTGCTCTTGAAGGGAGTTTTTGCACAAGATAATGCCTTTTCCTTTAAGATCAGTGTATACAGAGCAAATATTTATGTCTCACATTTTGTGACCACCTTGCCTGCCTAACAAGACAATATGTTTAGGCTTTATTGCTTCAGCCCAATTAACCGAGGCCAATTAAATTAATTTACCTTTTACTTGACTGAAATGGAAGCTAAGGGGACCCAAAGGTGCTTTTTCTTTTTTCCAAAAAGCCACTGGACTTTCTTTGTTTCTGCTTGAAGACATTTTGCTTCTCATCCAAGAAGCTTCTTCAGTTCACTTCATTCAGAACTGAAGAAGTTTCTTGGATGAGAAGCAAAATGTCTTCAAGCAAACATAAAGAAAGTCCAGTTGCCCTTTGAAAAAGCACCTTTAGGACAACCATGATTTGGATGACTGAGAATCTCCATAGACATGGAAACTAAGAAGAGGCTTTAATTGATCCCTGGCAAAGAAATTCATTTGCACAACAAAAAAAGGAAAGGAAGGAAGGAAGGAAGGAAGGAAGGAAGGAAGGAAGGAAGGAAGGAAGGAAGGAAGGAAATAATCAGAAAGCAAATTTTATAGATAGCAACAAAGTGCTACTAATGAGACAGAGAAAACATTGTGAGAAAACAAAGAACCAATTCAGGCAGTAATCAATCAATCAATCAATCAATCAATCAATTTTCTTAGCACAAAGTTAGAGCACAGAAGTAATATTGGAAGTTCTAAAAGGTAAGAAAGTAGCCTGTGGTGTCCTAGATTGTCATGGAATTCATGACAACTTGTGTAAATGAGCTTCCTGTGTCTCTTTACAGACACTCCTACACTACAAGAGCTCCCCAAAGTGATGCAGCCCTTTGTCTAGCTAGTTCAGATAAAAATACCATCCTCCCTATCATGTGACCAGGAAACACAGAAAGCATAGATGAAGCTCTCTCAGTCCTTTTAGCTGTGCTGAAGATGAATTGCCTTGTGTTCTTGGCGATGGCTTTTCTACAGTCCTATCAAAGTAAGACTCATTTCTTAACCAATACATTTCTTTCTTGTTGGTTTTTTGCCTGCTTACTTGTCTTGGGAATCTATGAAGTTTCGAAGTAATTTATTCCAATAAAAGACCACTGCAATTTGTTTCTGGTGTTGCAATCCTATGGATGTTTACTTATTAGTGAATCTGACTATATTCAAAATGAATTGGATAATGGAGAATTGTAGCCAATATTATAACCTCATCATATTGCTATTAGTAATAACTTTGGAGATGGGTTTGCTGAGCTTGCTGTGCAACTATAAAGAGTTTAGTTTGAGGAAAACACTTTGTTTGATCAGTGCAGCATGTGTTAAATGGATATTTTTTAACAAAATAAAATGTTTAACCAAGTAAACATGTTCTATTTAGGCAATGTATCTTTAACGGCAGAAGGAAAACATGTGGACTCAATTGTGAAACTCTCCAGGACCATGGCTCTTGAATGTGTCTACCCAAAGAATGCATCTATTTCTCAGATAGAATGGCAGAAGGAAGAGAATCAAAGCAAAAGTAGCATTGCGGTCTTCAGGCTACCTTATGATCTACATATAGAAAGCAGCTATAAGGCCAGAATCCTGGTCACTAATTTTACCTCAAACAATAAGACCTTGATTTTCAGCAAAACCACTGAGGAAGATGTTGGTTTTTACCGATGTTCCTTTCATGCTTTTCCAGATGGGATCTGGGAAAAGACGATATATGTTGTTCAATCTGGTAAGGTAAATCTGTTTATTTCCATTTTATAAGCTGCTGATAAATTCAAATTCTGGATATTTGCTTTTGGAGTCAAAAGGAAATCAAATTTCAGTGAAAATGCCCTCAGGTGAACTTTTCCTACCTTCTCTATGATGTTACAGTGAGTTTGAAGCAGCTCATTCCTCACCCAAAGCCATTGATAGTCAATATATTCTAAAGGAGAAGGAACAGAGATTTTAAAAGTTGGGATGCTACAAAGGAAAAAGAAGATCTTAGCTTTGTCGTCAAATGCTTAATTGGTTAACTCCTGCACTGACCAGGGATTAGATTAGATGATATTCAATGTTACTTTTAACTCATTAGTTCTATCAAACAATAAGTGTAATTTTTGGAACAGAATAGCAAAACGTCACCTGTCAGAACTCTTGTCCCTTTACAGGTATGGTCACCATCTCTGACCTGGTTCACATATAGCATAAAGAATAAATACGTTTTTTTTGGTTTGGTTTTGTGGGTCTTGGGAACTGCATGGTTTGCAAACTAAATGTATTCATCACATTTTAAATACAGCCATCTCCCTCACAGAGGAAGACTTCATGACTTTATGACTTCATTCAACGCGTGAATCCAGGCTACTGTGCTTTATTTTACAATGGTGGCATAGAACAAAACATAAAGCAGTGTCTTTCTTTTGCACATACTACATTCCCCAGTTTGGAGTCTCACGACATTTGCATGTAACAGGAAGAGATTATTTTATGAGAAAGAGAAATTTGAAAAAAATAGAGTGCCTATTCCTTGTTCACCTGCCCATTAGTTTTATGCTCTAAAATGACTCCTTATTTCCTCACTGCATGGAATTGACTTCTTTTTGCTAGGAAAAACATTCCTTTGCAACATCATTAAAAAGGGAGGGAGAATAAATTTGTGAAAAGAAGGTTCAAAGGGAAACTTACTGTAGATTCAAGAGACTTCACCTCCCTGTTAACTGATGTTTAAAGGATTTTTCTTAGCAGAGCAAAAATATTCTTATGCATTTGTACATAGCAGGAGATGTTGAAACACAGTGGAAATAAAAACTAGAAAAGAAGTGTTCTTTCTTCCTTTCTTCCTTTTTTCTATAAATATGCCTCTGCTTAAGTTACCCATTTGCTTATAAAATAATTTTAAAATTGTGCATTATGCCTTCATGGCACTTGCAATATTTTCTATCGCCTTCAATCAAAAATGTCATCTTAAAAGTATATTATTTTTCCTTTTTGGCAATGAACAATTTTGCACTTAAAAACATTGCTGGTGGGTTTAGACAATGAGTCAAAGGCTCTTGAGATGTACTTTTCACAGGTACTGTTGATATTTTATCTAAAGAAAAAAAATGGTACCAAAGGAATTACTGCTTTTCTTTGTAGATGCTGTAGATTATTGCATTCACTACAATTTATTCCATCAGTTATTAGGAGCCTTTACTTTGGGGAGCTGCCATTGTATGCACATGAAAGAAGCAGACTGTATTCCTGGCACCCTCTCATTCACAAACTTTGTCCCAACTGAAATTTTAATTTGCCTCTTGCTTGGGACTTCGAGTATTGTAACTTCTAGTTCAATATTTCTCAACCTCGACAACTTTAAGAAGTGTGAACCTCAATTCCCAGAATTCCCTGGCCTGCATGGCTGGCTGTTCCTTCCCAGTCAGAATACCCTCCTGGGGTGAACTTTAATTCTCAATATTCCCCAAACAGCCATTTAGTTCTGGGATGACAGAGAATACTCAGGCTAGGGAGGGCTGTTTTAGAGTCCCCGGTTTAAATTCTGAATAAATCATAATAACAATAGACTAGGAAGGTTCAGGCTTAGAAAGTCCTCCATGCCAGCAAGGATAAAATATAATTAGAAGTACAATTTCTGAAATTCATGAGGAACTAGACATTTGCCTTTTATAGCTGATATCAAGGCTGAACCTAAATATTTGAAAATTTGGCTGAGATTTTTAAAAATCTGTGACCAGTAACTTGTTTCTGATGAATATATAAAATTTAGATAAATACTCTAAGTACATGTTTGTATTCATATTTGTGTGCGATATAAGGACTCTTGTTTTTAAGAGATTGGTATTTATCAGATAATTGTAAATCAATAACTGGGACTACAGTTTTGACACAATTTTTAGCTCCTGTCTATGGCTGTCATTCATTGTAACACGAGTGTAGTTCAGGATTATCTGGAACAGCACAACATCAGAAACATGATATTTCTTTTCCTCCACTTTTAAGGGTTCTTTGTTGAAAAGGAGAAAGTATAGCTTTCTGAAGATTCCAATCTTCATTGGAATAATTAGGAGCACATTTTTCTTCCTTTGTTCTGTTCTGTTTCCCTAAGACCCTACCAAGAATCATAAGCCCATGAAATTTATTGACAAAAAATGTAAACTCTGAATTTCCCAGTCTGGCTACTGAGTCACAGATTGTGCTACTGAGCACAGTCAATGGCTAATCTGGCTAAGGATTATGGAAACTGATGAAACTATTTTGCTAGTTTAGTTTGCCAATAAACCATCAAGCATAATTAGGCAGTATGAAAATAATTCTTAAAAAGGCTACTACCTACTGAAAATTAAAGAGCAGTATAGCCATAATTTTCATGCATGGATATTTGCTATGTGATAGTAGAAAGTAATTTGAAATAACTATGGCTTACGTGTCATGTGTCAACTCCTCAAGTCAGTCTAACTATTAAATGATAGAAATATGAGATTGTTGTATGGCAGAAAGAAAACCAAAAAGCAAATCTGCAGCTTAAGAAACCATAAATCTGAAAGTAGACAATTCAGTGAAAGGTAGCCATAAAACGATATGCATGCTTTCATATTAGTGAAAGGGTTTGACATGATTCTTTTTTTCTATTGTAACTAACTGCTGATGAAGAACAAAAGAGTAGATGAATATAGTAAAAGTATGTGACTAGAGTTGTTTCTTGCACTCAGTAAATATAAAAAAATTGCAAGAAAGGGTAGGAAAAAAAGCTGAAAGCTGTATTAGATCCACCAACCTTCTCTTTCTTAGCAGCACCCAATTTTCTTGGGTTCAAATAATCCTTTTAGACGTTTTCTTCACTTATGTTTTGCTAAAAGTCGAAATGTCTGTTTGACATGATTTACAGTCACACTAGGTAAATGTGTTTTAAGAACTGTTTGAGGTAAAGGACAAAACAGTCAGAAGGGCAGTGCTTTAATGTTGCAGTTGCAGTTGTCATCTTGACGTTTTTGAATCCCCTATGGACAACCCTGAGCGATCAAACACATTTAACATCTTTTCCCGTAATAACTCTCCCCATTTTAGAAAATAAAACAGAATGTTTAATTTTTCTTCTGCTTTTATTTAATATATGTTATACCCAACAGCCAACAGTAAATAGCCCAACCAAAGAACCATTAAGACCACCCCCACCAACACAGTCAGGGCAAGCCCCCAGAATATAAACTGAGAGCAAACCCCACTCCTTACTAGCACTGATGATGTTACCTATCTTGGGGAATGAAACATCTGCAGGGAAACAGCCAAGCTCAGAGAGCTCAGAGGACCCCTCATTTCAATCCTGAGCTACAAATATTCTCTTTTATAAATTATACCCCTCAATTATTAGGAGCCTGGTGTAATTATAATTAAATATAAGCATTAGCAGCATGTCATATAAAAGAAAAAAAATAAAGACAAGAGCAGGTGTAATAAATTGTTAAGAGTCAAATTACAGTGACAATACATCAAGCAGTTTCTAAAGCCCAAAGTAGGAAACAATATACAGTATGGCTTGGTGGCTGTTCCTATTTTGGGGAAGAACTTTCCATCCAAGATATATTTACTTCCAATTATTTCAATTCATGTATAAGGTAAAAGATTTTTTTTTTCTGTGATATATCCTGGCATTACTCAAGAAATTTAACTGGTTCTTATTTTTCTGATCAATAGATGTTATAAATATGTAGACTATTGTGAATGGTGATTTTAAATGTTACTTGTATTTATTTTACTGCTTTATATTGCTGTTTTTAATTAACTTGTCAGATGTTTTGAATGCTTCTAAAGAAAACAAGGCATGTAACATTTTTGAACATAAATACATTATGCATGACATTATCCCTATCTCTCTTACTTTTATCATTTTTTTTTTCAAAACAGGGGCTTTTGAATTTTCAAACTTGTCAATTCATCATTTGATTACTAAACCAGGAGAAAACGTCACTTTTGAATATCGGTCTAATTCTGATGCAGCAGCGAATCGAGTGACATGGGAAAGAGTGCAACCTGACTGTATAGATTTTATAATCCAGTGTGTGGATTCTGAAATGCCAGTCTATGGTTCGGATTATCAAAATCGTGTAGACTGTATCTCTGAAAGTTCGATTGTACTTTGGCATGTCACAGCTTCTGACTTTGGAATGTATCGCTTTTCTTACAACAAGGTGAACGGAGAAAATGGAACTGGCTGGATAAAATTGATGATTAATAGCCATGGTAAGTTAAAGGTAGGCATATAATGACGATTATATTATCATTATATAATTATGATTATGATGAGTCACATAGCCAGCCAGATGTTTAGAATGGATTTGGCATTTTTGTCCATTTATCGAGTCCTTCCCAAGGTCCTGAGACAGGAGATGTTGTCATTTAATAATTTTAAAGGTATTGTTGCAGGATGTAAACTGTTCCAAGTAAAGCTGCACTTTGCAATTGACTGATTGTGATTTTGTCAGTTCTGATGGTGTTCAAGTGGATGTTTTGGAACTGCACCCAAGGCACCTGTTACTATTGGTCCTGTCTTTGGTTTCTTTTGCTACAGCCATTCTATTTGCAATCCTTCTTTATATTTTGTGATTTTCTCCCCAGTTCTTTCTCTTCTATGCCACTGCTCCATATATAGCAATGTTTTTGTATTTCTTACCAACAGTTGTTAAGCCTGGAGTGTTGTGTGGCATGTGATTGTCTGTTTGAATTCTAAAGTCCCAGAGCACTTTAGCTGCTTCATTTTCTATTACTTTTTATTTTGTGGTCCTACCAGTTCTTGCTTGTAGGCAAGTGGTATTTCTTGTAGATCTTCCAATGCACCACTGTTGCTACTTTGTCATGCCGTTGTTTGTAGTCACTCTGTGTGATCTTTTTGCAGCACCTAACTAGGATGTTCACTTTTTCTTCAGCTTCTTTGCAGAGATGGCATTTGCTGTCTATAGCTGTCTTTCCAGTTCTGGCATTGTATGTGTTTGTTCTTACAGCTTGGTCTTGTGCAGCCAGAATTAGTCTCTCTGTTTGTTTTTTCAATTTCCCTGCTTTTAAACATTGTCAGGTCTCTTTGCTTTGCCTGCTGTATTTTTAATGCATTGGCCATGTAAGACTTTGCTTTGCTAAGTCTCTTTTCTATTCTTCATTTGGTCTTTCTTGTAGACCAGTTTGGTCTTTGGGTATTACATAAGCCTTCATGGGGTACTAGTTTCAGTGCATCTTCACGTCCTTCAGATATCCTTCCAATGTGCTTTTTTCTTCTTTAACTATCTAGCAACATTCCACACCCACCAATTTTCCTTGGTTAGTATAATCTAGCATGATTCATTATCATTATTTTTCTGTTCACTATTCCAGCAGTATATCCAATGACTGGAGTAGCCCAGGTGTTAATTGCCTTGTTTTTCCTCCACTGAGTTTTTACTTTAAGATCTTCACTTTTCTGATGTGTTTACTACTAATCTTCTTGACTTCACTATGCTGGATGTTGTCATTATTTATTTTGGTTTGTCACATAGTCAGCCAGATGTTCAGACTGGATTTGACATTTTTGTCCACCTCTCCCAAGGATCTGGGAGAGACAGATGTTTAAAAGTATTGTTGCAGGATGTAAACTGTTCCAAGTAAAGCTGCCTTTTGCAACTGACTGATGATGATGAATTTGTCAATGCTGATAGTGTTCAAGTGTTGCTCAAGTTATTTTGGGATTGCACCCAAGATGTCTATGACTATTGGTATTACCCTTGTTTGCCTTTGCCACTGTTTTTCTATTTCTATTTGTAGGTCTTTGTATTTTGTTATCTTCTCCAGTTCCTTCTCTACTATTCTGCTGTGTCTGGGTACTGCCATGTACACTATCCAGACTTATTTTGTCTTTCTTATCAACAATTTTAAGTCTGGGATGTTATGTGGCAGGTGCCTGCCTGTTTGAAGTCTAAAGTCCCAGAGCACTTTAATCTCTTCATTTTCTATTACTTTCTGTATTTTATGGGACCACCAAGTTCTTCCTTGCAGGAAAATGGTATTTCTGGCAGATCTTCCAATGCAATAACAATTTATTATTATTACTATTATTATTATTATTATTATTATTATTATTATTATTTACACAAAAATGTAAAGTCACAGCTACTGGTTCTTTAGCTGGGGTTGACCTTCATACACATTGAATTCTTCCCAAGAACCTAGGATTACTATTTATAATTATTAAAATATATGTGCCCACTCCCAATGACTATAAAATGCTACCTCTATAAAAATATGTTAGCAAAACCTTTGCAATGCTTTTAAATAAATATATGTTAACTTGTTATGTGACTGGTAAATATCTGAAAAATGAAGAGCATGAAAAAAGTTAAGCACATTATCTTTGACTGAATGGTTTAAAAGTAGACAGGAAAGGAAATGTTGCAAAAGTGTTAGGGAGGAAATGTTGCAAAGGTGAGAGGTGTCAAATCAAATACAAACATATTACTGCATCCTATTGCAAAAACCTTTTCCATCAGTTTAAGCAATGAAGACTAAAGAACCAGATCTATGTCCTGGAATAACAAGACACCCACAAATCACACTGATGGAAACTCCTTTAAAAAGAAAAACACAAAATCCCCTTTTTGCATTTGAAGAGCACTGTCTTTTGAATGCTAGACATCAAATTAAGAAAAGGCCAAAGTAGTTATATCCATGTTTAATTTTTTTTCATAGAAATAGTTTTCTCATGGCTCCCCTGGGTCAGGTAACAATTTGTTTAATGCAAAAAAAAAAAAAGAATTTACAAAGATACCTTATATCACAGCCTATTCAAAGAGTATTGTTTTGATGGCACTTGGACACATTTTCCAAAATATTCAGACAGAGGTTTTTCACTGCTGTGATCTTTTCCAATTACCAGCAGATGCCACAAATTGAACACACTGCAAAGCAAGTGTTCAGTGTGAGTTCTGGCTCATACCCAAGAATATATTCTGTCAGAAAAATGTATCTTCTCTTCTTTCTGCTTACAAGCTTAAGCTCTTCTCTTACAAAATGTCTTTGCAAGAATATCTCCCTATTTTTGCTGCCCTTCTATTGATTTCCATGTAGAGTTGCTCCCATTGCAGCTGAATGGGCAACTTCAACCTGAGGTCCAGGTATCTTGCTCAGAGACCTTAAATCATAACAGGACTGGTCCTTCTCCACTCTTCTATATCTTCTCCTCTCTTTTCTGCTTTCTTTCACTTGCCTTTTGTATTAATCCTCATCTTTGCTTCCACATGTTTCCCAGCAATTTTGGTAAAAGAGGGAAGTAGCTAGCTAGCCAAAATTGCTAAGAAAGTAATCAAGGGAAATAATGGCATCTTCCAGGATGAAGGACTGAGAAAAGGTACAGAACACTTTGCGCAGAAAACCAAGTGAATATGAACGTAACAATTCAAATATTAGTAGCAATAGCAGACAGCAACAATAAAGTTGTAAGTCCCTCATAAGTATTTTTGCTTATTGAGCCACAAAATATATAATTTTGTTTGTTTTTAAAATCAGAGTGCATCCCAATCAGAATGGAATGGCTGGTACAGAAAATCGAGGCAGATGTCTCTTTTCATAGGCTGCTCCATTGCAACCCTGATACTTTTTCCTTATCGTCAGCCACAGCTATTCTCAGATGTTGCTTTTTTTCACTTTTCACATGCCTCATTTATCACTTTAATGGAATAAATTTCATTGTTTGCCAGCAGTGTTCTTTTGGAGTTTCTTTGCTCTCTGCTTGGATTTCAGGACTTTTGTTGCTACTGTGCTGCCGATCCTGGTTCCAGATAATATGAGTACTAATCCTCTAACTGTGTGGCAGCAAAGTCAATTAACAGCCTTTTTAAAAAAATATTTTAAAGCAGCCTTTGTTGGTTCAGGAACTCCAGTGTTGTTGTTCCCAAGTAAATGACATAACGAAGGGCCAGATTCCGGAAAAGAGTTGGGATACTTGAAGGTGGTGTCACTGGATGCATCCCTCTTTTGCAAGAAAAACTCAAGGGAGGAAGTCACACAGAGATGGACCTGGTGCTTAAACACCCCACACCTTTGCTTTCTCTTCCACATGGCTCAGTGCTTCTTGCTGTCACAGACCTGTTTTTACACTTTGTGTGCTTAGCAAACGTTGCAAACCTTTTAGTAGCGAAATATCTAACAAGTGGCTCTACCTGTTTGTTTGGGTTGAGTGTGTTGGAACTGACAAGCTGTCAGTGTTTCTTCTACAGAACTGCAGTGGAGGGGCAGTGAAGGTTGAAATCACTCACCTACATGTTTCTAGGACTAAACTTCAAGGCAGGCTTAATAAGTATTTCCTCCCCTGAGGGATGTCAGAACAGGTGATTTGTCTCTGCTTTCCCCATCTTGTTTCTAGGAGATAGGGCTAATACATTAAAACTGGTGGAAATTTATGCCTGACTTGAAATCCTGAGAAAAAAGAAAAAGAAACAGACCCTCCTGCTGTTTGTATATTAGTCACTACAAAAAAATAAAAAGCACCCAGACATTATTTGTTCTTATTTTTTTTAAAAAAAAATCTGAGTTAAATAAAATAAATAAGGACTATAAAATCATGAAACCAGATTACTTCATCATGACCCAAATAACAGAGATCTCTGAATGGTCTTGATATGTAGCCCAAGTTGTGTTGAGTTTGCAACTTTCTTATTGGCTTTGGGCCAAAGCTGACCATTTCTTTTGCAGAATTTGGATGGGGCGGGGGAGATTGAAACCATTTTTTGTACACCATGTCTTCATTCCATATCTTGGATGCCCCAGAATACTGATGAAGATACCTTGATAAATTTCTATTGACTGCTGAACTTAAGCGAACTCTAGGTAATGATTGCAGGGTTTCGGTTATGATGGACTCTGAAGAAGATAACATGCATAGGGTTAGGCAGTACCCAGCACTAACTTTGTGAGTTCAGTCAGCCAATCTTCCTCCTCTATGCCAATTCAGAAGAAGTTCTTTGAAACTGGAGGTGTGACAGAAAAGATGTCACCCAGCTTAGCAAAGTGCTTTTTAATTAATCAGCACCTGGACCAATCTCAAACTGTTCCCTATCTTGGGAGGTCATTTGAGAACCCTGTACTGTACAATTTTAGGCAGGAAGGTCCTGGAATAAGACAAGAGGGGGCTGGAATATGAAGTCCCTAACAGCAGTTAAATTTGACTAAGATTTCTTATTAGAACCCCTAATAAAATTCACATCTTACTATCTTCATTCTTCTGAAATGATTCTGTGGATCAGGACATCTCAACCTTGGTATGTATAAGAACTAACACATCTCAAAGTTACCAAGTTTGAGAAACATTTTGCTAGATTCTTCTACCTAGATTAAGTGAAGGACATGATTTAGCTCTGCAAAACAGATCATCGGTACTTTATTGTTTTTGAGACTCATTGCTGCAAATGAGTCTCAAAAAAGATTGGGAAATATAACCTACTATAGGATTTTATGTGAGGAAAAGGAGAGAAGCATCAATTCCCATCTGATTAGTTACAACTCCATTAAATCACATTTTCGTATGCTGAGAAGTATTCCAACAGAGTGTTGGAATTTTCAGCTTTTGAAGTCACACACCAATGACATGCTTTATTCCCATGCATAGCTTTGAGAAATAGGCTGGAAACACAGTCTTTCAGCTTTATGTCTCAGACAGTAGTATAGGAAATTAATAATGAGCTTTACCTGGATTTTTAGAAGATGAATTTGATAAGGTTCTTCAAGAAAATTGTTATCCTCAGCCTTTGAGATTTGAATTTATATGAGATATAACATAAAGTCTACCTTCCTGCAGGCTTTCTGTTTTTTATTTAAAGAAACTAATCCTTAAAAAAGTGTCATAGATTCTCTAGGGGTTCTTATTAAGAGATAGTATCTAAAGCCTATCTTAACATAGAAAGCAGAAATTTTACTATTTGCTAATAATACAAAAATGGAACATCCTTAATATCCTGTTCTCAGATGTCTATCTTGAAGGGTTTCTTCTTTGTGAAAATCGTTGATACAGCATTGGAGGCAACATTTCCCCTCTCCTTTCACGCCTCTTGAAATGAAACTTAACATGTTTTGAAAGCTATCTGTGGTTGATAAACCTTCACTCAAGGTAACTCTATATTGTAAGGTGTGGAAGAGGAACTGAGGACTGTACAGAATTGCACTTTCAAGCATTCCTTCCAATAGGCCATACTGACTAGCACTGCTAGGAGCAATCTCAAGCTACATCTAGAGAGCCACAGGCTTCCACAGATCTACTACCTTGTAATGGTCTATGACAGTATTCTCAACTTGACTAAGATGTGTAGACTTCAATCCCAGAATCCCCCAGCCAAGGTTCCTTAAAGTTGCCAAGAATGAGAAAAACTGGTCTAGGGTTATCAAACCCAATTATCTAATAGGAGCATGTGCCAGGAACTGCCTAAAGAAGTATGTAATGATGCCTTATCAACAAAATGTAATGTAGTTTGAATCTTTTCATTGCATTGGATGCCAACAAATTATTTCTCTTTTTACTTAGAATTCATATACAGGGACTAACTCATGGAGTTTCTTCTATAAGCACTACATGGCTGTAAGAGTGATACCATTTATGCTCAGAATGTCAGCTATTGTGGATCAATTTGACTTTCTAAATTGATTACAAGATAATTATAATTATTTCAAAAGATAAGTCATTCTTCTGTATTCATACTCTGGTCTTCTTGTCTTTCTCATTTCTTCTCGTATATTTGAGACTTCCTTATACAGAGCGTACGTTATTTGAAATGTCTTCTGATGATGTATTGTTCAGAAAATCAACTTTTCCTCTTATTGATTATATTTATTGTATTTTCTTTGTAGCACCTTTATTTACTAAGCTGCATATGATTTTTATTGGAAGTGCTGCCTTTTTAATCCTGGTTATTGTGGTTATACTTATATACAGAAGGTAAGATATTATTCTGTACTATAGCAGAATGCACCCAGTATGCTATGTCCCCCAAATCTGAATGCTGTCATGTTTTCTAAAGTTAATGTCATGCTGATTGCCGTACAAGGAGTGATAACTATGTTGTCTTTTCTGGAAGTTGTTACGGTTGGCATAGAAGCATTTAGGGGAACTATCTTGCTGATTTTTGCCAAGGAAAAAAGTTTTTTTCATGCCTCAGTCGTTGGTTGAAAATGTTCAATTACAAGTTAGTTAATGGACCTTTGCAAACACATAAAAATGTGGCTTTTGTTCCAGGCTTATCTTTCAGACTTTTATTCTGAATATCACTAAGAGTCTAAAATTGTTCTTGTATATTTTTATTAGAATGCTTCAATATAATAAAAGAATACAAAACAAACAAAAAGAGATAGAAAGTAAGATAAAGAGAAGAAGAATAAAACTGCTTTCCATCAAGTAATTGTCATCTTAATATTTTCCTCATTCTCTTCATCTGTTCTTAATCCCCGAATCTTTAATTCAGTCTTTTCTTATTTCAACAAAAAGTCCACATAAGATTTCCAGTCTTTTTTAAAAAAAAGAGAAGAAAAGAAAAGAATATTGTTTGTTGGATAGTCTGACATTCTTGATGGGATGGATAAGGAAACTATTGTGTCAAAGATATCAGTTAAGTTGATTGGTGTAATATTTTACTCACCTACACAACCTGATTTAGTTGTGCCATCTGAAATAAATTAAGTTTAACAATGATAAAAAGAATTAATAGTTAACAACCACAAAATTATTTTTGTTCATTTAGTTGTTGTGTCACCAAAAAGAGGAAAAGGATTAAGAAGATGAGAGACTACAAAACTACTTGTAGACAGGTATGTGCAGATGGCAATTGTTTCGCTGGTGGACTTTTAAAAAAAAAAATAGTCTCCAAACCAAAGGATCCAAACCATATGGAAACAATATTTTTAAATAACTGTACCAATTACAATGAGAAACTCCTGACAGTAGCAATGACTAAGGGGATTCACAGTCTTATTAATCAGGCTTAACACAAGGAAAGGGGATTAGATAAGTACGGGTAATCCCCGAGGCACGAATTTAATGGAGCCTGCCCATTAAGCTCATAAGTCAAAATATTTGTCAAATAAATCAGACTCAATTTTACAAAATTTTAAAATAAAATTCATTAATGGAATCAAATGGGTCATTAAAGGAGCAAAGATCTGACTTATTATTTCTTCTGATGGCTGCCTGAACTGAGAGACTTTTCCCGCTCCTGCTGCTGGCTGCCTATCAGCCGTTTCTGGTTTCAGGAACTAAATTGCCTTCCAAGCAGGCAGCAGGCTCTCTCTTTGCAATATGGTTTTTTTTAAAAAAAAAACATTTGTTGTTAAGCAGCTGAAGCTTCTTCAGAGGAGTTTAGATTTACAGAACTCTATGACTGTTTTTTTTTAAAAAAACTGTTGCCACTAGATTAAGCATCTCCAACTATGCATTAAGAGGCAGATGGGGGTGAGGTTTACAGAACTGTTGGCTTGCAACAGTAACTGAGATGGAAGGGACCTTGACATCATCTAGTCTAACCCACTGCTCTCACAAGAGATATTTCTGATAAATTCCTATCCAGTCTCTTCTTAAAAGCGTTCAGTAATAGGGCACCCACAACTTCTAGAGACAATTTAAATTTAAAACAAACTACAGTAATATATGCTAATCTCAAAAATAAAAGCAAGTAAACACAACATTACAGAATGCTTTGTGAGGAGGCTGGCTAGCATTTCTACAAATACTGTACATAGAAACACAATAGTTTGCAAAGTACAGTACTTTAAAAGAAAAGCAGTTTGCAAGCACAGCAACAAAAAATTAAAATACTTACAGAAGCAATTCTAGTCCTGAAGCTCAGGCAGCAGCAGATTCTCCACCAGCACTAACAGAAAAACTTGGCACCGCCTCGACTCTTGTTTGGCCATGTGACCAGGGACAAAAAAAAAGCCCTGCCTGCTTCATAACCCTAACGGCCCAGGCAACTCACAGAGCTAAACATGGCCACCGCTACAGCAGACAGTGAATTCAAGTCACATGGCTACATAGGCCTCTTTTTAGTCACAATTTTGAATTTCTAATGTAAGTACCCTTTCTGAATGAATTCGTTTTTGTGAAAATTTGTTAAATAAACGTTCATACGTGGGGGATTATCTGTATATAATAGACCTCACATTAATGCTCATATTAAGGCAGAGTTCTCCAGATCCCTTTTTTCTCAAAGTCTTCTGAAGAGATAACCTTGCTAAGGGGGTAAGATTGAAAGATTCTTGTGGTTCTTATATATCATGTTTAGGAAACATCCCGTTTCTTTCCTAGACTCAGAGAATTTCATTAGTTCATTCCACTACATCTAGTAGCTGGACAAAAAAGGGCATTTTTAGGATAGATTTTTGTGTCAGAAAACTAGTTGTGCATTTTGGGTTCAACAGCTTCTTTGACTAGGAACTCATTGGGGGAAGCATGTCTATAGATACTTATGGACCAAGGTGGGCCTTGGCCTGATCCAACACAGTTGTTCTTATGTCTTAGGATAATGCTTTGGTAAGACAAACAAATGTTTGAACAACAAAGTGGAAAACCTTTGGCACACTTCAAACTGCCCCAGGGCAATTTATATAAGATGCTCACAAAGCACAAAAACTTTATTTACTTATTTCTAAAATGGCATTATAAACTGAGAATCTATAAGCCACACAGAACTCCTATATTCTATTAAGAATTTTCTTGTTTCTCCATAATAGTCATTAGCTGAGCTGATTCTGTTTTATTCCTAGTAGGTACCTAATATTTAGCTTTTCATGGTTTGCCTGCTACAACCCTCATTCAGTGATCGGTCCTTGCAGTTGCAGCCATTGTAACATTCCTGTAGTCCCATTTATTACTATTTGGTCACTTGGTAACTGACCCACATTTCTTACCATCACAGTGTCTCCCACTCACATGATCGTGATTTGTGAACTTCCCTGCTAGCTTCCTACAAATAAAGTGAATGGAGAAGCCAGAAGGAAGTCAAAATCATGATCACGTGAGATCCTTGCTTAATGGCCTGCATTGATTTGCTTAATAACAGCAACCAGGAATTGGTGGTACTGCCATTGCTAAGTAGCAGAGTAATGTGACATTACATTTTATGATGCCATTGAATTGCTTGGAAACTGAAATTTCAGTCCCGATTACCACTGTATGCATATATATTTGCTAATAACATATTTGAACACAGGCTATGGATCAGCAGCATTTTGGAACACCCACACCATTGCGTGATTGCCTGTCTAGGCAAATCACATTTTTAACATTCACCATAAATCGCACACAGAAAGCTCTGGAATGAGACTGCTGAAATGTCATGACATTTGTAGCCATTTTAATTTCAAAATACATTTTTATTTAATTTGTAACATCGGCAGGTACAAGACCTGGTGCGCAGTGGGAATATGTGCAAACTACTAGCACATAATATTTTAAGCCTTAAAAAAAATCTACTTCTACAATAAGAATTAAGGTTAAATCAAATCAAAAGTTCCTATTTTCAACTTTTATTTTGATGTGATGCTCCTCTGTGACTCTTCTGAGATTGAACCCAGTGAGTTCTACATTTTTTCCTTGTAAAGTGCAGCTTTCCTCATAACGAAAGACAACTGGCCAAAGAATACTCTTTATTTTAGTACATAGTGTAGATTGGGAGGTTAGATAATTCTGAAGAAATTCCTTGGCCGGGGTCATGCATCAACTTATGTGACAATATGACTGATTTGGTTTTGGTTTAATATGTTGTGTTAGCTAATTACGGATTTTATAAACCTCAGTTAAACAAATTATGGTTTAGTGATAGATGTGAATCTAGTCTATACCTTATGTTTTTTTCTTTAATGCCTACCACAACTGCAATAATATAATATGGTTGTGTACTGTTGTTTTGATCCTAACTCTTAAAGTGCAGCCTGAGGAGGAAAGTTTGCCTCTGTTGTGAGCGTTTCTGTTTGAAGGACAGTATCTTTTTGCTATTTTTTTTCTCATTACTATTTTTTTCTTTCCTTTATAGCACCAGCATCAATACAAAAACTGGCCTGGTGAGGGCTCAGCAAATACCAGTCAAAGTCCTACTGCAACAGAGGATCCAATATATGTCAACTGCAAACAGTTTATGAAAAAGTGAGCTTATTGCCTTATATCAATGAACTACCTCAACTCACCCCATTGATTTTTGGGATTAGAATCAGAATATAGCAAGATAACCAATGGTTTCATTTTTACCTAGTAAATCATGAAAACAGGAAATTAAAAAAAACCTAGCTTTTTTTTCTCTTCAGATGCATTGATTCGTAATGGTATATCTGACTTTTTCAAAAACACTGTTAGCTATATGAAACGTAACGAAAACCTATTGTGCTAAATAGAACTGGCATACTCAGGAGATAGGATATATTTTCATAGAAGATAAAATAATAGATCTGGAAGGAACCACGGAGGTCTTCTAGTCCAACTCCTTGCTCAAGTAGGAGATAGTGGCCTTCTTGACTCCAAATATGATGCCCTTCCTCCTTTCCTAATCCTAACTGGTAACATGCCATTTACACATCTCTGCCAACTGCAAAACGCACTTCTCATGATCGCTTTGTCTAATTCACTGAGAAGGCAACCCAGAATGAATACAGTTTTGTCATAGTTTATGCAGTATTCCCGATGTACATATTTGCAAAAGTTGACTAGAGTCAGCAGGCACTGAAACAAGGAATTTAGTTAAAAGAAATTCATGCAGTGACGATACAGCTATTTGTGAATATCTTTGTTTTAACTTATGTATTAATAAATAATTCTATGTAAGATCAATTCACTATTATTTTAATGTGATGTAATTTTGTTTTCTCATTTGTAGCATGAAGCAAAAACCTACTTTTGTACAAAGTGAGCTTCAAATTGGTGTGCTGTTAAATATATTGTAACTTTGATTCAGCAGATCTGTCAACAAGATAATGTTATGTGAGAGCCATGGTTGAAGTATGTATCTGAGGAGAGGAGAAATCTCATCTCCAAAGATTTAGGAGGGCAAATGACAAAGTTAATCAACATAAATACAAACCAACAAAAGCCTGTAAAAATCAGGAAATTCAAATAGTTGACTCAATCAGGACCAAGTTTCCCTTTCAGGTGGGCCTTAAAAGATGGGAAACTTTCACTTTGTGTTTTTTGATTTTCTATCCTGAGATGACTTTTCTTCTTGGACTGGCATCCAACCAAAAGAGATCTGGAGAATAAGAAGGGACTAACCATTTGGGAAATATAGAGATAAATGTACATTAAATTCTTTAAAAAAATACATTTTGGATTTATCTTGTTTCTTTATATCCTTTGTATAAGATATACATACTTTCTCTCCTCTCTATTATGCATGCTCAAAAGATCAAAGTCTGCAAGATTTTTCTCATTGTCTACAATTCTCAATTAGCTCTAAACTTAATCTACATAACAAATTACCTCTATCTTTTGTGGAATCAGTAGTCTCATCCTGACAAGGAATTTATCCTACCTTGCATTCCAGCCACTCTGGTAACTCTAAAAATGAGTTTAGAAAAGCTAAAACCAGTTTCTTCTCTGGGAAAGAGTGCCCAGGATTTTGAAACAGCATAAATGTGTAGACTATGGACTAGGACGTTCTCACTTGGGTCAGCCAAAGGGCTAATATGGTATCTACCAGTGCACGTATGTGCAAGTACACACTCTATTACAATATCACTAAGATCACATCAGATGCAAAACAAGATTCAGAATAGTTTCCTTCTACCTGAGAAAATAAATTACCACTTCACTCTCACTACTGGTTATGCTCTTGGTATAAGCAGAGGAGATTCCCAAGATCAAAAAGAGATTACATTCAATTCTGGAAGCTACAGGGCCTGAGATGATTTGGTCTTGTGAAGTTAATGTAGACAATGCACAGATAAATATTGGGTTTAATCCTGGCCATTTTCTCTAAACCAGCACTATGCAACATATCTGAGTCCTGTGGTCTAAAGGGAAGGGAAGGACCCCAAGTTAATTGAATGGAATTAAAATTAAATTAGTTAATTATGTAGCAAAACATAATTAGGGACCCACATCATTCAAGATTGTGTCTCCTACCACAGTAAAATTACTTTGTAGTTAGGCTGGGATCACAGCAGACATTTTGAGTGGTCACAAATGCACTGTGGTATCATGTTCAAAATCTCAGATGTCTTGATTGTGGCACCACACTGCTTTTAGAATGTCATAGTGACACAGCAATTCAGACACTTCTTCATATACAGCTTTTTCCAACCCCGTGCTCTTTAGATATGTTAAAGTTGGATTCTTACCAATCTAAGACAATTCTTTGCCTAACGTATTTCTATTTTGTTCGGTTGATGGCTTTTGTTGCAAAATTTTGAGCTTTGTGGAGAGGGCAAATTACACACTACATCTTGGTACTTGTTTAATCTGATTTAATTCAAATTTCATAGATGGTTTGGTTCACAGGGAAAACTGGATCATCACATCACACAGAGCAGAAGAGCAGTGTATTTAACTCTTTCCATTAATAGAACAAGAAACAACAGTAAATGTATCATTCTGCCAAGACAGCACATCAGTGAACAGTAGCTGAATGCCATTTTAAGCCACAAAATCCTGTTTCTGCCCCAAATACCCTTAAGCAACTTTCATTCATCCAAAGTGGCGGAAGCTTCTCTTAAAGAACCAAGCATCTAAGAGAAATATATGGCTCATAATTTTCTCTTCCTCCAAAATGATATAACTTTACTGACATTTTACATTGTGAATTTTCAAGTGTGAGATTCTTTGTCCAGCTTCTCCAAGGAAAATGAAATGGTTGAAAAGCAGATCAACATGGAAAAGGAGAAAGTGAGGGTTGATTGATGATCTTAGTATTCACTGTTATTATGAGAACTCCATCTGGGACACAAGCTGGGGAAAGGGGCTGACAACTAGGTTTGCTCTATATCAAATAATAGCAAAGACTGAGTAAGAGGTAGGAAGGCCGTTTGTGTTAATCCTACTTGATTCCAGTATTCAAACTTCACAGCATCATTGACAACCAAAGACTAAATCACTAGACTGGACTAGTTAATTGTGAATAAACAACCATTCTAGAGAAAAATGTAGAAATCAAGGCATGTCTTACAGGTGACAGAAAATTCTTCTGGTATCATATATAATAAATATGTTTATAAATATTATTAAGAATAAGGAAAGGGGATCTAATTTAGATGGAGACCAAAATCTTCTGTTTCATTTTTACCCAGATCAGAATGATGATGGAATATTGGTGCAAAGCAATCAATTTCTTTCAATAACTCAGATTTACAACTTCAGGATATAACATGACTATTATTAATTTCAGTATTTAAATTCCCTTTTATAGACTTTTCATTTTTATGTTTTGGTTTGCTCAGCAGTTGGTTCTGGCGATAGCTATAGAACGCTCAGTGAACTTTCCATTCTGTGAAACCATTAAATCTGATATGCAAAGATGCATTTCGCATATGGGTGCAGCATAGGTGGTCCTCAACTTACGACCACAATTGAGCCCCAAATTTCTATTGCTAAGCAAGACTGTTGCTAAGTGAATTGCATCCCATTTTATGACTTTTTTTGCCACAGTCGTTAAGTGAATCACTGCAATTGTTAGGTGAATCATGTGGTCATTAAGCAAGTCTGGCTTTCCCCCATTGTCTTTGCTTGTCAGCAGCCGGTGGGGAAGGTCGCAAATGGTGATTGCCTGAGTCCAGGACAGTGCAATTGTCACAAATACAGAAGCACCCAAATTTTGGTTACATGACCATGGGGATGCAGAGGTCACCAACCTTTGTCAGTTGGCAGACTGGAGGAAAAGGGAGGGGGAAGCATTTTATATGTGTGCGTGTGTGTGCGTGGGGCTGCAAGCACACGTGTGCTGCAAACGTGGCACCCTTGTGATACTCACTAGCCCTGCCCTGTTCTTGCGTGGTGCAGCGTCTTGTTTCTGTGGGGTTGTGGCAGCTGTTGTTGCGCCTTGCAGCAGGCGGCGGCCTGTGGTGGAGTCCATTTTTGCACCTTGCAGTACATCCCATTTTTTCATCCCGAGGCGTGGCAATGGTTCATTTTTGTGCCCCGCACCTGCGGTGCTAGCCTGTCCCATGGCCCAGTGGCCAGTAGGCCACGGTCCACTACTGGGCTGCGGCTATAATGGTCGTACAGTGTAAAAATCATTCTTAAATCACTTTTTTCCAGTGCCATTACTAACAAATGGTTCTAAATTGAGGACTACCTGTAATCTAGTTCATCTACACAACATGGGGGGAAAAAACGTCCTGTCTCAGAACACCACAAGCGTCATGCAGAATTCTTTGAAAAGAAATGTACAACCTCTTGAGATAATTCTTCTTGAATTAGAACAGTCCTGCAGGTTAAGTACAAAGAATTCTACTGGGTCCTCAGTCAATATATCTACCTGCCTATCAACTAGGAAACTCTGTGCAGTGGAATAGTTTGTTTCCCTTGGGTGAATGGGAAATGGCAAAGACTGTTTAGGCATGCAAGGCTGTATACTCTACTAAACCCATTTGTAATTTGAACTATTGCTTTGCCTTACTCATCTGGATACATCTCCCCTTGGATTAGATCCAAGTACGCATATTTGTTTTCTTTTAATAACTTAGGGAATTATAAAGTATGGCCATTCCTGTAGATTTTTAGCAATTGTACATTTTGTGAAATGTTGCTCTTACAGGAGATGCTATGAATAAGTAAATTATGACATTACTTGAAAGGGCTATTACTATCGAACAGACACTCAGAGTTTTGTGAATAGCTTGCATTAGGTTGACCTTCCTTAATTGGCACTGTATAGGAGTGTTAAAATTGTAGCCCTTAGGTAATATAGGAATGCTAGCTGGGAAGTTTAGGAATTAATATATGAAAGACGCTTTATTGAAGAAAGTTGCAGTCATAGGATTTATATGTTTCCGCTCCTGTTGCATTGTTCTTTGCTGGAATCTAGCTGAGGTTCACCAGCCTAACAATTCTGAAAAGGATGGGTAATGGATAGATGAAAGCAGGTTCTGACTGTGAAAACTCACAGAATTATGTAATGGGAATAGAAGGGATTTTTCTGAGTGTTATTTCTCATGGGAAAATAAAGGAGGACAGAAGTATGGATTATTTCAAAAGTTTATCTAGAGGCAATGCTGGACATGAAATCATTTTTGTCATTTTGAAATCGTTCAGGAGAAGCAATTCTGTATATACTTCCCCTTTAAGTTCAAAGAAAACTTGTTTGGATGAATGTAATTTTGCATATAGTGTCACTGACTAATACACTAATTATTCCAGAACAGTGTGATTTCATATTGAAATTGTCAAATGGATGACCAGAGCTACAGAAAGAGGATGGTTGCATGTTAGCACAAGCAGGAACAGTAATTTTGCATTGTTGTAATAGGTAGCTTATCATTCTCCCACAGAGGAAGTTGTTTTCTCTACTCAGTGGAAACATGGTGAGCGAGATAAAAGAAAATAAGTGGAAGAGATGCTGCGTGGGGGGAAAGAGTGATTAATTTCATCAGATCACACTGGTTTCATTCAGCAGCTCTTCACTGAGGTGTATAAGCCTGCAAGGGATTAGACTGCAAGGAAGGCTTGGGTAAGAAAAATCTTCCACTGTAATGTATTAATAAATGTTTAATTGAAGTAGACGTTTCCTTCACATCGTTTATAAAAGGAATAAAAGCAAACTTCTTTCCATCAAACTGTGGTAGATAAAACTTGATTTTTTTTTTATGGAATGGGAAACTCAATTCTCTTCCTTGCCACATGTTCTGTGCTGGTTTGATAAAACAATGAAGAAAAGCATAAATTTAAACTACGTCCTTTTCTACTGGCAATAAATAGTTCTTGATATATATGTTTGATTTGACAATGTTTATGGAGAGTGAAAGATAGGGATGGGAAAATTTTGTTTTTGCTTTCATTTTTGTTTTACCATGTCAACTTCTCAACTGATTTCTTAATACATCTCAGTTTATGTGCTATTTCATCTCTTAAATGGATGGGCACCCTACATGATTCCTTTCTATGCAATTTATTTGCAAGTGACAACATTTAACAAAAATTCAGGCCTTCCCAAAAGTAACATTCTTATGCCTCTGAGGGAGAAGATCCATATCTTTGATGTGCTCCAATACATAGCATTGCTTTACTTTATTTTGTTCCTTCTGGCCTTGTTTTACTACAGAAATGACTTCAAAATTGATACTTTAGATAAATTACACACAAGCATTTACTACCAGTGTGAGTGTAATTTTATTTATAGCAGTTAAAATCTATTTAGAATTGGACTATAGGCAAAAATGAAGAAAGAATCTTTTTTACATTGAAGGGTGGTACCAGACATTTAAATACTGTATGGAATGTAGAATAACATTGCCAGATTCTTATGGCAAGGGGACTATTATATGAAGCATGTGTTTCAAGTTTCAATATTTCTTTGATCTAATTTAGTTTGCATCTAAATTCAATTCAAAGTAGCTAAAATATGCAACTCTAAGTAGTTTGTGTTTCAAATGGCCAGACTTGCTTTAGCGATCAGCTGCACAACACCCATATTTGTGGTCCTTTTCTTTAGTGCTTAAGGATAATCAGTGATAATCTTTCCAATGCTGACATCCTCAATTTGCAAAATTTGATTTGGGTATGGAATAATATTTAAAGTTAACAAATGATGGGTGATAGAAGGTGGTAACAAATGACATATTGATGGAAAGCCTAAATAAATGGAGTTAATCAGACAAATTAATATAACCATGACACATGTTGGATTTCGAAAATATTGCTCTGAAAAACTGAGAACTTCAATAGTTTCACTTTTTCTATCATTGGTATTGACATTCATTTTTTATAGTTGGAAAAATCCGAAATAAGCAAAATATGCCAATAAAAGACTCAACCGTTTTAAACAATCCAGTTCCATGTGACTGTAGGAAGGAATAAAAAGTCATTGTTTACAGATAATCCTCACTTAATGAATGCCCTATATAATGACCAAAGTTATAACAGCACTGAGCAAATAACTTTATGACCACACACACACACCTGCCACACTCTTGTGACTGTTGCAGCATTCCTACGAATTGTGTTATTTGTTATTTGTCCACTTCACATCTGGCTTCCAACAAGCAGAGTCAATGGAAAAGCTAGCAGGAAATTGCAAGTTGCAGTCATGCAATGCTTTGCTTAATGGCGACATCACTTAGTGACAGACTTGCTTGTCCTAATAGTGGTTGTTAAATGAGGACAATCTGTAATAAAATGCAAGGGCAAAATGTATCTATCTGTAAGATCCGGGGTAAAACTGAGTAAGATATTATTAGTACAGGGACTCCATCACAAAATAAATGCTGATAAGGAAGAGAGAAAACCCATGCTGTTGCCTAAAAGACCTCAATAAAAACAACTGCTCTTGAAATTATTCTACCAGCCAGGCATTTTGCTATGGAATGTTGGGCTGCCATCAAGTAATGTGATGTCAATTCTTACCTGCACAGTATACAGGGCTAAAAGTATACTGACTACAAATTCAACTATCCAAAAATTATCTACAAAAGGAAGACTTTGACAAGTGTATTTTAACACGGTCTTCCTTGACATCTATAACCACTGTTCCCCAGTAGAAAGCTGTGGATTATTAGGTTCAGAATGCACATAGATAAGAGCAAATCTGGGCATAAAAATTCAGTGTGGCAAATATTCTAGGCAAATTACCTCTTAATACACAACACAATCTATTTTCTGAAAGGCTACTAAGCATCACCATGCCATCCCATTGACAGTATCTATCTATTTATCTATCTTGTGTATTAATTTTAATAATGAGAATCTGATTAAGAGTCACTGGCTTCTTCTCACAAGTGAAACTTTAGGCCCTAGTCCTAAAGATATACATGCATAAATCCCATAGAGGTTAATGGGACTAAAATGTGCATAATTACTGGAAGGAAACCTTCCAAACCCTTTGAAGTTTTGTAACATGTAAGAATGAGCCAGGCTGATGCCTTGGAGATAAAAGTGGTTACTGTCATGGACAGGCAGATCTGATGGCAGAGTTGATCAAAAGCCTCATATTGCAAACATGACATCCACCCTCTTAGAGCACATAATGTTTGCGGTTATGCAGAAACATCAACTGCATACATCCATGATTTTCAAGGGAATTCTTCTTTTAAAAAAACATGGACAAAAACAACTATAAAATTTAAATAAATAAAAGACTTAGACTTCTGCCTCAAGGAAGCAGTGATCCAAGCTTTTACTTCCACTGTCATCAGGCGGGAGACTCCTCTGGACACCTAAGGAAAGATCAATGGCTTCCAGGGCCTGCAGGTAGATTCCACATTAGAGTGTCTCTCTCTGTTCAAACACCAGATGTGTGTCATTGCACAAGGTCCGAGCTGTAGCTGAATCCATAGCTGCTGGAAAGGGACAGGCGTGGCTCATGCTCTTCACTTTGTTCTGAAGTGTAGCTGGGAAATGTCTGTGCACGAGCCACCTTTGCAAGACTGTGCCCTGGGAAGGAGAAGCAAGGAGACAAAGGAGAAAGAGTTTATGCATCTTTCTTTCTTTCTTTCTTTCTTTCTTTCTTTCTTTCTTTCTTTCTTTCTTTCTTTCTTTCTTTCTTTCTTTTTTCTTTTTAATTACTGAAACCATTGCCATATCTTTCTTTTGCTTTAAATGATTAGTCAACAACTTACCAGATCTTTCACCACTCTCCCAATATCTCTGTTGTAAATATGTTAATGTGAATTCGGTCTCCTGTGATAGTATAGTATTTAGCTTGTATTTCTTCTTTAGTTTTTCTCTGTATAAGGTAGTAGATGGACATCTGTGCCGATAAATATGTCAATTCACCTTTCAGGTCATTTTTCCCTTTTATTTTTAAGCTTATTTTTGTACAACTCATAAGCAATTTTGGATGTAAGATTTATGTGCTTCACGTTCAATAATTCAAGCATTTGATGTTTCTGAATTCAAATCAAAGTATTGCAAAGTCTCTACCAGCATTTGCTGTACAAATTATTCAAGATGGAGACACTAAAATATTGATTTCAGTTATTTTATCTTTGATTTCTCTGTTATTTTTTATTTTCTATATTGCTTTTCTTGTATTTGTATTTATTGCTGATCAATAACAATAAATAAGAATGTTGCTAATAGCAGTATGGACAACAACATTGGGCAATTACTGTTTAAAGCCATATTTAATGAGCCGGTTGAATGCACAGGAACAGACCAATCAAGAAATCTTATGAGTAGCAGCAGAATGAGTGAAGAAAGAATGAAGAGCAGACTATGAAGCTGTAACCTGCATTTTCAAGGGCAATATAATCATTAGATAATTGACTTTATGACATCTAAAGTGAGAAAGTACCTATAGCTTTATAACTTACTTATTGGAGTCTGTTAATTTCTTGACTGTCAGTATGTAATGTCACAGCTTAGATGTCTTTCAGTTTCAAAAAGCTAATGCATAATTGTATTAAATGCAAGGTGGCAGCCAAATAATGAAAGGAATGCATTAGTATACATTGTTGGTTAGAATATTAGAGGTTTTTTGTAAGTTGTTCTTGACCGTCATTACTCATCCATGAGATTCCAGCTGATGAGATTAAAATAAATCAGAGGTTCAACAAAATGCCGTGTTAAATTAAAGCCACCCTCTTTATAAAAATAAAGTTGCCTGATCTTAATGTTGTGCTTCTTATTGCAGATATGCCAGAATTCCCCTGAAAGCATAAACTTAATTCCCATATACTCTGTCTTTTAATTACCAAGTATATCTCTAAAACAGACATCTTTTTGGACTGTGAAGGAAATGAAGCAACTTTATTTCTTTCCTTTCTCAGTCATAAAGGCAAAGCATGTATTAAACATCTTAAGGCGAGCCTGTGTCCATCACATTACATGCCCAATAATATGAAGCAAGTAAGGTTACATTTTACATACACAATCCTTTAAAGTATGTGTGTCAAACTTGCAATGTCACATGACATGTTGCGACATATCCTGACTTTTTTTGCATTGCCAGAGCTGGGATGGGTGTGGCTTCTGCATGATGCAACCGGCCCACAGGCCGGCAGTTTGACACCCCTGCTCTAAAGAATCTGGGGGCTGGGGAAGTTTCAGTAAAATATAAATCTAAGTAAATAGCCCAAGCTAGAAGATGGGCTTTACACTTTACTGCTAAACAGAAGAGTCTGATTTTGTAATACTGAATAATGAAAGTGAAAGGGAAAAAAAATAATCATAATATTGCACATTTCCCCTCTAAACCCATCCCTAGTTCTATTATCATGTTCACTGGGATGTAACATGTCACTATTACCAAACTATGGATTCCTAAACTAGATGATCCCAATCCATTCTTTATGACAGATATTTTTGCCCTTTCATTTATAATTAAACTATGCTTTCCTTTCCCTTGTGTATACATTAGCTCTATAGATCATTTAGATCTGTTCTACCCTTCTCTTTCTCTTGGTTTTGCAGATACAGTGCATGTCTATTTTATTGCATTTGTTAATTAATGCTCTTTAGCATTTACCATTCTTACATTGCACGTCATTAACTAATTTATGCCACAGTTGCCCTCAGCTGTGTTCAGTGAAGCAGTATTGACCTTTACCATCCTCTATGCGTTTGGACAATCAAGGCCTTCTCATATTGTAATGTATTTTAGAAAGATACAGCAGACTACTTCACTAGCCTTGGTACTAAATTATTCCCATCTAATCTTAACTTTGGCATAGTTAATTTTGGCATATTTTGATCAGTTAGTCCAAGGTACCCCAATTCAGGAGCTATAACTGCCCCCCCCAAACTCTGCAACTTCAACTGTAAATGAGAAATTTGAATCAATAATTTATTGTCAGGAATTGAAGGGAGAAGATAAAATATTAAGCTAAGACTAGAACAGCTTTTTTCCCTCAGATTTCATTGAACTGTGAAAGTAAATTAAAAGTTCATGATGTTTGTAATGGTCTCACCCCAAAAATATTTTTTTTATCACCAATGATAAATCCTATATATCTGGAGCCAAATACAGAAACAGAGCTGAGGATATTTTAGTAAATACGTTTCAGAAGTGTATCAGATTTTATTTAGAGACAATAGCTTTATGTGAATATGTAACAGAGGAAGTCCTATGGAGATGCTTAACTTACCAAGGTAAGAAGAAAAATGTTGTTTCAATAAAATAAATTATTCTTGTTGGTATTAAGAACATTTAAATAAAACTTGTATGTTCTTTTTTTTAAAAAAAAAAACCCCAATTTTTAAAAATAAGATAGTAGATAAAACAGGATAATAGATAAAATGCCATTTTTCCAGATTGTGATCCAAATAAACTAATTCATCTGAAGAAGATATTTCTCAGGATATGAAATCTTGGGACTAGATTTATATGTATATATCTATATATGTGTGTGTGTATGTGTGTGACTTTAAAGATCAAATACTCCCAGAAAAACGTGTAGATCACTAAGACTTAATGGATGAAATACATAATACACTTAGCCATGAGTTGCATTACTCCAACTCATATATTCAACTTGATAGTAAATAAATAACCAATGTGTGTTGAATTGAGTTCTTAATTCTTTATAATCTAGTAAACAAGCAAGCAAGAAAGCAAACAAATGATTTAGCCCTTTGTGGAAAGATATTGCTTCAAGCTTGTAAGATTTATAATGTGAGACTGGCCTGGTTCTGACTGTTGCATTCTGAAGATAATTTAGCATCCAAGAAAATCCTCTTCATTTTCTATCACATTTGATTTTTTTATTACTGATGGTTTAATATTGTTTCGATCATGCTGACTCTTAGGAGCTCGCAAACAGAAATATAATACAACATACTATAACTATAACTCAAGTAACAATTGTCATACATAAAAATATAATTTTTAGGATCGATTGTCAACAGTAAAGGAACCAGCAGCCAAGAGGAAGCTAGTTTTAGGCTAGTATCTAATAAGGTAGCAATGAAAGCCTTAGGGGAAAAAAAAAAAAACAAAGAGAGAAAGTGACTGGCATCAGAAAAAAAAATGCAATTCAATAAAAAGACCCTGAATCTGTTCCTCCTTATCCAATCCTGAACAACTGCAGGTATTGGACCATGAACTTGACAGCATCACTGGGTTGACCAAAAATTGAAATATACTGCTGAATATTGCCAGAATACTGATGGTACCTGATGGGTAACAATTTTATGTATTAAATAGATTATTAAACAGAAAGGTGAAAGTATCAATCCCTGAGACACCCAGAAAATCAGGGATCTGATTTGGCCCACCTATCAACACTGCCCAGGACTAAACTGCCAATTCAAAAAAGAGAAGTCTTGTAACATTGTGCCTCCCTTTCCTTAACTCCTGTGTGCGTTAATCCCTCAATATGTTGAGTCAGATCCATAGTGGGCATGAACTCTGAAGCCACATTATACACATCAGAATTATCATTCTTGGAGATCCAACAGACAACTCAGCAATGAAATCAAGCAGAGTCATTGCAAAGGAAAACACGAGAAATGCAATTTCTTTGAGGGAAGTTAATTTCAAGCCTGTTGAAATTCAATAAAAAGATGGCAAAAGTGCCAAGGCTGCATCTGCATGACAGCTGTGGGCTGTAGACTGCTCATCTCCGAAATAGTTTATTTAATATTACAAAGGATATGTGCTGTAGTTGAGCAGCAATTACATAAAGGCACCGTGGTATCAATTCCTAACCATTCCCACACAGCTTTACTCAGCAGTCACAAAATATAACCATGTTAGAGAAGTTTCTTTCTCCAGTGCAATAGTATTTCAGGGCCTGAATTACATAGCTGAAAGCTCCATAGAACGTGCTGTTTTATGAAATCAGCACTTAAGAAGCAACTGCAACAGTCTTTATAGTGTCTTTATAAAGTTATATGAAATTCTGTTTATCTCACTGAACAAAAATTGTTTGATTCAGGCAAGGATTGGAAAGACTATTTAAAAAAAAAGTGATTACTGGCTTGAGATGGGGTTTTAAGACACAGGCTAAGATTGAATATTGTCATGTTTATACTCCTCCTCATCTGGCAAGTCCATCGGGCATTATCCTAACCAAGTGATGCAAGAGAAAGTAGCTTTCAACTGATTTGTCTGTCATCTAGACCAGAGGTCCCCAACCCCTGGTCCGTGGACTGGCACCAGTCCACAGCATGCCAGCAACTGGTTTGCGCAAATAAGCGAAGTCCCATCCATGGGATGCAGGCAGCATCTGAAACCACGCCATCTCCAGTCCGCGGAAGAAGCTTTCTCCATGGAACCAGTCCCTGGTGCCCCAAAGGTTGGGGACTACTGTTCTAGACATACATGCCGTAATGTAACAAATCAGTTTTAAGCACAGTAACAAAGTTTGTGTAAAGATTCAAGAAAAGATAATGCTGTAGCTGTAGCTGCTCACCTTTTTCTTTCATCCAAATCTGTTTCAGTAAATGCTATATTTACAAAAGATTTACTATAGAACAGTTTCCTTTCAGAG